TTACCACTAATCCCGCTGATGGGAGCACTGTACACTGCCTGTCAGGAGGCCTGAAGTGGCAGCACCACAGGACAGCACGCTGTACGCGAGTTGCACTCCACATTTGTAAGCCAAACACCATATGAGGCACAAGACCTTTGACTGAGCAAAAACTCTGAAGACTGACGCCAGCTCTTCATCTTCAAGGTGGCCAGCCCATTGGATGGCAATGTTCAGGATATGAATGGGCTCCTCGCAGACATTCTGAAAACGAGACAGGGGCAGTTAGTCACAGCTAGGTTCATGCCACGACTCCCAAAGAATGCAACCCAACGTCAGCCTCACCTTATTGTCCTCTTCTTCATAGACCGTAGATCGCGCCTCGCTGAACAGGGGGCTCTCCGAGGGCGGGTCAGCAAAGCAGGAGATCACTTCATCAAAATTCCTGGAGGAATCCAAGAAGGGTGTGGCAGGCACATCAGGGATGGCGTCAAGCTAAAAGAGTCTTGTGCGCAACCCATGATACCAAAGCCGACAGCCTCGAACTACAGAGATTGTTCCTCAAAGACAGGCACTGACCAGGGGGTGCAGGTACTATAAGCAGTGAAAGGAAAACTTGCCTGGGACTCTAAGACACTTGAGTTTCAGTGCACAGATTTCCTGTGTCACCACGGACAGCCCCTTCTCAAACTACCTTGCCTAAAGTTTACAAATATGTTCTGAGGAGAAAACCCGCTAAATGACTGAAGCTCTGACATACTATGGTGATAAGGACCATAAGGAGCTAAATCAGGGGCAGGGAACCTCCAGCCTGTTGGTCAGATCCAGCCCTCTGCTTTAATTTGTTCTCTGCATCCTGGGCTGGAAGCCGAGCCTTGGTTACTTCCATGGTGCTGAAGCATGAGCATCGGCTCATCCCACTGCAGGGGAAAGCTTCAAGTCTCAGCACCTTCCCCATCCTGGGGCTGAAGCGCGAGCACCAGCTGGCTGGAATGAACAAGATCCAGTGCTCCAACTTGCACGAGAGTGAGGTTTTGCTTCTCTCTTGGGAGTAGGTGAGCGAGGAGTTGTTTGGTTGGATATTTTTGCTTTTTACTTTTCTATGGCCCTTGACAGATTTTTACTGTGGATCAATGGCCTCTGACTGGAAAAAAAACAAAAATGGTTCCCACACATAACCTAAACACAGACAGGCAAGCACTCCAGCAGACTCACAAGTTACATTCCCTTTAACAATTATTTCCATAAATTAGTAAAGCAACCTTTTGCCTAAGTGAACCATCACCTTCCCCTTCCTCCCCGCTTGGCGTGTCATGCTGGAAATGTCTTCTCCAGCTGCAGGATGCTGAGCTATGGCAAGCTCCTGTGGGCTCAGCTCATTTCTTAATGGTCAGACTGAAGACCATGCACGAAACAAACACACTCTGGGTACATCCACATAGCAACATTATTTCGAAATAACTTGGTCCGTGTCTACACAGCAGGAAGTTTTCGAAATAATGTTGAAATACTATCAAGCTGGAGGACATCTTACTCCAACTCCTGCAACCCCCCTCATTGTAGGAGGAGTAAGGGAAGTCAGAGGAAGAGTGCTCTATTTCAAAATAAGAGCTGGGTAGACACTTCCAATTTCAAAATAAGCTATGTCATTGACTTAGCTCAATTTGTGTAGCTTATTTCGAGTTAAGCCCTGCTGTGTAGAAGCACCCCCTGTAGTAGAATGTAGGTGGGGTTTGGCTAATGCTACGTGTTCGATTTAGTCTCCCTCCCTTTCTCTCCTACCTTGTGAAGTCTTCAAATCTGTCAAAGGCCTGACACTGAGGAGAAAAGCCGCTGTCCATGAACAGCTCAGTGCTATGCCGGGCTAAGTCGGGGTTCGACATGCTGATGGGGATGGACATTCTGTACAGAGAAAAAGGGGCCACACACAGAGCTGAGGTGTCTGTAAATAATCCCACCACAACTGCCTTCTTCACCACCAAAGTCTTGTTACAGTTTCTGCTGAGGAGCTGGCAGACAAGGAGAAGGGGCTGAGGAAATTCCAAGAACAGGTGTAAGAGCTGCAAGGAAGTTAGTCGCCAAGGAGGAGGCCCTGAACTTAGCAGAGTGATGTGTGGAATTTCAGAAAGCCAAGTCCAAGACGCCCGAGGGGAGACAGAAAAGATCTGCTACCTCTTGGAAGGCAAGGAGGGAGAGAGGAACCAACTGCGAGCCCAGCTGCAGGATCCACAGGGGTGCTGATTTCAAAGAGGGGAGAAGGCTGCTCCTGAGGGTGGAGAGCCTGCAGAGGGAGAGAGACACACCGTATGTGCCCAGTGGAGGAAGATGATGGGGTTTTAGAGACTCCTCTCCCTCCCTCGCCCCCCCCCCCCCCCCCCCCGGGGGGGCAACAC